TAATACATTTGTAACAGAAAGCAAAAGCACTTTGGGAGGTGATGCTGAGGTCGCCCAGGTGCACAGCAGTTCACATCCTTCCTGCCTTTTCCTTTCTAGGACCTGTACTGAGCACGCCTGATCCTACCAGACGAACCGGCAATGGAAGGCGGAGGAAGCAAACCTGCAAAGTACATCATCCAATTATCCAGGATATGGACACTTTACCCCCTGATACTCCTCCACAGGAGGAAGCCATGGACATCTCTCCCCCTATACTCCCCAATGGGGGTATCAAGGGACACATCACCCCCATATGTTCCCTGAAAGGAGAGAGCTATAAACAACTCATCCCTCTCTGCTCCCCTACAGGAAGAAGCCATGGACACTACTCCTCCATACACTCCACCTCGGGAGGAGCCCATGGACACCACGCCCCCATATGAGCCACCAGAACTGATGGACACCACACCGCCATATGAGCCACCAGAACTGATGGACACCACACCGCCATATGAGCCACCAGAACTGATGGACACCACACCGCCATATGAGCCACCAGAACTGATGGACACCACACCGCCATATGAGCCACCAGAACTGATGGACACCACGCCCCCATAAGAAACATCTTGGGCGGATCCACACCTCCCCATGTTCCACCACGGGAAGAGCCCAGGGATATCACACTCCCAACATTCCACCATGGGAGGAGCCTATTGACCCACCCTCCTGTGCTCCCCCATGGGAGGAGGGACCCACCACAACCTCCCAAGCTCCACCAAAGGAGGAACCAATGGATACCACAATGCCATAGGCTCCTCCTCCAGTGTAGTGCCTGGACACCACACCCTCCTACGCTCCACCAAGGGAGGAACCAATGGATACCACAATCCCATAGGCTCCTCCTCCAGAGGAGCCCATGGACACAACACCAACCTATACTCCCCCTCCAGAGGAGGCCATGGACCCTTCACCCCCTAGTTTCCAGCATAGTCCATGGAAAGGTCAACCACGTCTCCTGCCCTCTGTTTTCCTCCTGCTGGTCCCAGGGGCAGTTTTATGCCTGGCCTTCCCATCTTTCCTTGCATCTTCATACCCAGTTTCCCAGCACCTATGGATATAGACCCTCCCACGTGACCCTTCCTCCCTCCCCTCCAGGACATGGCACAACTCTGCTCCCAGGCAGCTCCTTTCATGGCCTCCAGCGGGCTCCTCGCCACACAAGAGTCTTATTTAATATTAAACACCATACTCGTTCTGTTTTTTGTGTCTATGCTCTGTAGATCCAGTGTGAGAAATGCTGGCTTCTGTTGAGTGCTGACAGAGGTCAGATCCTAGGGAAAATGTTCCTGTGGTGCAAGAAACAGGGCTGTGGAGGGTTGGGGGCTAGGGAGTAGAAGGAGCCAAAGGCAATAATGACTCCTCCTGAGCAGAAAAAGCTGTGGCTGATGGGCCGGCACCTGTGCCGGCATAGTGGGTGAAGCTGCGGCCTGCAGTGCTGGCTATCCCATTATGGGTACTGGTTCAAATCCTGGGGAGCTCTAACTTCTGATCCACCTCTCTGCTATGGCCTGGGAAAACAGTAGAAGATGGCCCAAGTCCCTTGGGCCCCTCTACACACATGGGACACCTGGAAGAAGCCTCTGGCTTCTGGCATTGGATCAGTAGAGCTCCAGCCTTAGGAGCCAACTGGAGAGTTGAACCAGTGGATGGAAGAACTCTCTTTCCCTGCCTCTCCTTCTCTCTCTCTGTAACTCAGACTTTTCACTATATGAATAAATCTCTAAACGAAGGGAAAAAAAAGCTATGGCTGAACTTAAGGGATGGGGCCCAGGATCAATGAACCCAGGAAGGGAGGAGACAGGAAGGGTCATCCTGGCTATGGCAGCCTACCACTTCTCACCTCCTCTCTGAGCTGCAATTGGCTGGATCTCCCCTCACACACACCAGCAGTCTACACTCTACACATTCACACCTGGTCCCTTAGGGAATCTACACTCACAGCTCAGCCAGAAAAGCACACATCTGGCATCGAAGCTCACAGGCCACGAAGAACAGAGGAAGAAACTCATCGCCCCACAATAACCAGGACAACCGAACTCTAGGATGTCACTGATTCCCGGGTGATCTGATTGTCACATGCGGAGATGTCCTCCTTGTTGCTCTTCCATTCAGATCAGGAAAGGGAAGCAAAGAGACTATTGCAGGGGAAACAGCTAAGTGAGAGTCCCATTTTCCAAAAAAGGATTAATTGATTTATATCTTTAACCCACAAGTACAAAGCATATCAATAGTCACTCCCATCCATGCCACAAGACAAAAGCTGAACACCTGAAGTCACCACTCATCTTGTATCCTACAGAAAAGTGAGGTCACTTGCAAAAACACACCTTCAGAAATTGCCTTGACTGTCAGATGCAGAGAAGCCCAGCTTAACTGAGCACAGGCCTCTGCTAGGGCTCAAATGTAGGTAGGGAACACAGACGTAATAGGTCAACTGCTGGGGGCACAATGGTGCACATGCTAGAGAGGAGAAAACTCCAGGGAGGGGGCAATCTTTTCTAAAAGAAGAGCTAACAAAGTTTTTAAAAACTTATTTTCATTTTATTTGTTAGGAGAGCTGCAGAAAGAGATGGAAACAGCCATACTCAGATCTTCCTTCCTATGGCCCACTTCCCACATGCCTGGAATGCTGTCGTCTTCCTTCTTGCTCTCTCTCACACAAATCAAACCCCAAACCATGCTGCATAACCTGGAAATCTCTAGGAAATACCAAGTCCCACATACATGCCAGTGCAGGTGCATCCTATCAATCTGTGGCCTGGACTTCTCAAGACATCAATCTCATCATAATCAAGTCCGGTCTAAGGAGATAGGCATTGCAGTACAATAGATTTGCCATCTGCTTGGGAAGCCCCCATTCCATATTGGATTTCCTGAGATAGAGTCCCACCATTGCTTCTGATCCAGCTTCCTGCACATGTGCACCTGGGAGGCCCAGGTGATGACCTCAGTGCTTGGGTTCCTGTCATTCATTGGGGAGCACAGGATGGAGTTTCTGGCTTCAGTCAGGCCAGCCCCACCTTTGTATTGGGAAGTGAATTAGCAGATAGAAGGTCTTGAGATCTCATTCTCTCTCTCTCTCTCACTGTGTGTGGTGTGTGTGTGGTGTGTGTCAGTGTGCATGTGAGTGGGTGTGTCTAACTTTCAAAGTAGGAAATGGATTCTATAAGAAAAACATGAAGAGTCTGAGACTAAATTCTGGATGTAGTGTTGGTACAGAAAAGAGACATGTGGGTACAGCTAAGGAATTTGAATAAACTGTGGCCTTTAGTGATTAATAAAGTATCAGTGCAGGTTCACTGATGGCAATAAACACACCACACTAAGGAAAGATGTCTATACGAGCTACTTCCAGCAGTTCCTTTATGAAGGGACTTCAAAAGGTCATGGAAAATGCACATTATGAGTAAACTGACACATGGACTTAAATTCTTTCTGCAACAAGGTAAATTCAGCTTTTCTCTCATTTCCTCCCCAAAGAGTCTGAAGTTATCTCTCCTGGTTTCACATTGTGATCTTTTCCTTGCCACTGGGATGCCCATTCACCAAACCACCTTCAGGGCAAATATCTATCAAGACCAAGGCTGGACCTCTCAGGAGCCACTCCCTGAATTCCTTATCACTGCACATGCATCCCACTCACAGGAATTACTACTGTGCTCAGAGGATTCAACCTTCTCTCTCATACTCCCTATTTTCCAGTCCCTGGAATAAAGACCTAAGGACTGAATGCTTTAAGCCTCGGACAACCGCACTGAATGATCCTGGGTACAGACATAGGGACATGTCAAAAACAAAGCACCACCCAGAAAAGCAAGGGCCTGGCTTCACCAGCAAGACACAAGGAGGTCTTAGCTCAGCCCTTAGCACTCGATTCTGTCCATCGTCCTGAACAGTTTTGCACCTCTGCACATTTGTCCAAACTCATCTCTACCAGGGGACAAACACTGCTCCCCAGAGCACACAGGAAACAACCTGACAGCAGACAACAAGGGCCACACCACAAGGAAGCTGTCATCCCTGAGCAGCTCCTTTGTGTCGAGGCTTTGCCAGCAATACCAACTTCAGTTCCTCCTCCCTCCCACCTCACTGACAGGAGGGTGCAGTTACAAGTTCAGCTGACAGCTAAGAGTATGGATTCCAGACCCCCACCATGAGATAGGTACTTGGTGGCTCTGGGCCTCAGTGTCCCACACGTCAACTGGGGCTACTAACAGTCTCTGCAGTACAAACAGCTGCTGCCTGAGCTCTGCTGCTCCCATTGCTATTCCCATCCCATCCCCATTTGAAAGAGGAAGGAAGGAGAGGTCCTAAGATCCTGGCTCATGGCTTCAGATCGGCCCAGCTCTCACCAGTGTGACCATTTGGGAAGGGAACCAATAGATGGAGCATCTCCAGTGGATGGAGTATCTCAGGATCACCCCCCACCCCTTAATATTACTGTGCCTCTCAGACAAATAAATAAAATCTTTAGACAGAGATCAAGATGCATCTCTTTTGCAGGTTCACCCTGCAAATATCCACAGCAGCCCAGTTGTAGCCAAGCCACAGTCAGCAGACATGAAGGCACTCTGGGTCTCTTACCTGAATCACAGTCAACCAACAGCACCCAGTACCACCTGCTGCCTCCCAGGGTACACATCAGAAGAAAATTAATCAGAAGTGGGACAGGAACTCAACCCCAGGCACTCTGACAAGGGATGTGCATGTCCCAAGCAGCATCGGGTGCTGTGCTGAAAACCTGCCTCTTCCAATATCTGTGAAGGTGACCCATTTTTCTTCAGTAAAGAAGTGGAAGAACTGAGCTGGCACTGTGGCATAGTGAGGAAAGCTGCCACATGTGGTGCTGGCATCCCCTAAGGGCACTGGTTCAACATCTGGCTGTTCTATTTCCAATGCAGCTCCCTGCTTTTGCTCCTGGGAAGGCAGCAGATGACAGTTCTGGTACTTGGGCCCCTGCACCCACATGGGAGACATGGAAGAAGCTCCTGGCTTCAGAAAGGCACAATTCCAGCCATTGTGGCCATTTCAGGAGTGAACCAGTGGATGGGAGACTGGATTCTCTCTCTCATTCTCTAACTCTGCCTTTCAAATAAATACATAAATAGATCTACCTATCTATCTATCTTTTAAAAAATACAAACTGGAAGACTCCATGGACATGGCCAAATTGCCAAGATCCTTAGTTATTGAGGAAAGTACTAAGTGTTTGTTTTATTACAAAAATGTCTGGAACTTAAACTACCTTCTATTGACAAAGTATATATTTTAGGTGTATCTTTAAATCCCACTGTCCTTGAATTCTAAATTTCCTCATATCACCAGCAGTGGAATTGCTAGGGGACATAACTACTCTATTATTCAGGGGACGATACTACACACATTTATCCACCTGTCTTTGTGCTACTTAGAACTATTCTTGCTGTGTGCATGGTTGTCAATACAAATGTCTCTCCTTCCTCCAGCTACCTTCTTAGTATGCCATTTCCTACATGGATCTTCTTTTTCTAGCACCGTATTACTGAGCTGATGTATTTCATACAGCAACACACACACACACACACACACACACACACGTGCATGTAAAGCTGGTGAAATCCTGATGAGGCTGAAGGATTTTTAGGGTCAATTTCTACAGAATCACCTGTGTGTTTCTGAAAACAAAGGAGCTGCCAAAGAGAGCAGAACACTCACCAACTCATCTAGCCTATAGAGCTGTCCAAAGCTGATGGAACCTCTGAAGAGAGCAATGAAGACAGAGATCAAAGGCATCTTCACTGGTCGTGGAAGGCACTGGAGAAAGGCAGAATGGGAGAAGCCATGACTCAACCCCATGGGCCAGTGACCCCTGTCCTGCCCCTCCCAGCCCCTTCTCTCCCCCTCCTCCACCTCCTTTGCTCTCCTCAAGATCTTGCACAGGACGTAGCTGCTTAGGTTCTTCACTGTGCCCTCAGCCTCACTGCTGCTCTCATCCACTTTAGCCTCTGCACTTCCAAGTTAGGCTGGGACCATGACATCTCAACATGGGACCCATGTCCTCTGTCATTGTCTGAGGGAGTCCACAGCCCTTTAGCAGCTCCACACACACCTAAATATCTTCTTCGCCTGAGCACTCGGGCCCTTCACTCTGAGAGAGAATTTACAGCATATTCTGACAGTCACAAGCTCCCAAGGGTAGTCAGTTATGTGCTATATCCTTACAATTGCCACAAAAAGGAGAAGTAGATGACTGTATAGTAAACAGCAGCTGAAAGCCCTCCAATTCTCCCCTCCAATAAATCAGTGAGAAACCTGCCAAAAACAGTCACCATTAACATTTTGTAAGTTTTTAATCTTTTGATTCAGTGGGAGAAATGCATAGGAGAGTGAGGGCCCTATCTAAAAAAGACAGAGAATCTGGATTCATACCGAACACCACTAGCCACCATGTGGAGGAGTATGCAGGCCAGGAAGCATGGAGCAGATGGCCTGAAGACCACATGCCCAAAGGTGCAGGGGCAGCAAGACCATCCAGCACAAAAGGGAAAAGGGCCAAAAAGCCATTAGCATTTCAAGAATCCTGGAAACTAACCCAACATCTGCAGGAACCCAGGCAGTACCGAGCACAGAAAAACAAAGCACAGCTGACTCTCAGGAAGAACAGGGGGTTGGTGGCAGTCTCCCTGTCCCGAGTACAACCTGCTGCTCTGCAGTTCCACAGGAACACAGAAAACGGAAGCCCACGTTCATGGTGAAAACCAGCAGTGGGCAGCCACTGCCGGGAGCACAATCAGTCTGTGGCTTCCCCAAAGCCTTATTCATAGAGAATGAGCACTCTCTGAGGAGTCTGCTGCCTTCGGGAAGAACCCACTTTCTAGGCTGAACTTGACCTGACCTTGAGCTTGTCCAAGGTGATAAGTACAATGGTCCCCAGCAAAACTCTCAAAACTATCACAGCCACTGCTTAACTTTGTGGATACTCTAAGTAGTTGACAACTCCCTTAGATAAAGGACAAACTAACCCAATAACATTGCCGCAGAGCTAAGTCATGAGTGTCTGTAGGGGACTCAGGAAGCTCTGGCACACTCCTGGGAATCTAGAAATGCACAGGTGCACCCTTCTCTGATGAGAGAGGCTCGAGGTGCTGGACTTCTCACATACACAAGGACTAATGCCAAACCTCTTGCTCCTCCTGGGGTACTAGAATCTACCCATGTGCTGGGAAGAAGGCACCAATGAACAGCCTGGGCAATCAGACTCTGGGACCTTGTCTGGCAAATGTCACTCTTGTTGTCACAACTTGTTCTGAGTCCAGGGGGGCCTCCACAGGAAGCACTGACCCTGGGAGTGCTCAGGATCAGGATCTCCCAACACAAGCAGAATCACCAAGACTGCAGCCAGCTGACACTACCTCTGAGGAAGTACAGACATGGAACTCACTAGGCCCAGAGCACTCGGCATTCACACTATACTCAAATTAGTGAAGGAATCTATGTGTTAAGCACTACAAACATCAAGAGAAGTGTTTCACAGGATAGGAAATAACAGTAAGCGAATACATCTTATGAGAGGAGTGACTCGAGTTTCTGGAATTCAAAAGAACAACTGAGAACCCCCCTGCAGGGGCCTGCACCAGCTTCCTCGAGTCACCATAGCTCCTTACTGCCATCTGCCTGGCTTTAAAGGAAGGTTGCTCACAGTTCTGGAGGGCAGGGCCTGATGTCAGAGGCCTGCTGCTCCCTGCTCTATCTGAAGGCTCCAGCGTAGGGTCCTCCATGGGCTCTTCCTAGTTTCTGGCACTTGCTGCATCTTGGGTTGTTGCTTTGCAGCTGCAACTTCCCAGCCTCTGCCTGTGCCATCAGAGTCTTCTTCCTTCCACATCCACATTTGCCTGGAATGGAAGGACAACAGCAATGGATCAGGACCCACTCTGACACAGGATGAGCTCATCATCCCTGACTCTACCTGTGAACACCTTATTTCCACAGAAAGCCTCCCACACAGACATTGAGCGCTAAGGCTTAAACGTTGCAGGACAAACTCCTCATACAATAGGATTTTGAACAGGCAAAAGAAACACCGAACCTGTGGATCAGACCCTGCAGATGGCCCAGTCCAATGAATAATAAGCAAACAATAGTTTCAGAAACCTGTGGGACACCATCAAGCATAACACATATTCATAAAGAGTCCAGAGAGACAGGGATATGAGACAGGGACAGCAAGAATATATGAACTGTGTCCCCAAATTGCCTAAACATTTTGAACAAGAATAATCAAAATATGCATGGGTGTTTGGCCAAGTCATAAAGCAAACAGGACATCAATATCCAACAAAGAAATGGTTCAATTTGATTCCCTAGCTCTGTCTCCTCTTTCCAGCTTCCTGCTCCTATGAATATTGGGAGGCAGCAGTGAGGGTCCAAGTCGTTGGGCTCATTCCACACATGGGGAAAACTTGGATTGGGAACCCAGTTCCCAGCTGTGATCTTACAGTTGTAGAAAGTACTTCGAGGAGTCAATCAGCAGCTGGAATATCTCTCATGCCTCTATCGCTGACACATCATAGGATGCAAAAATATACATGGAGTTCAATGAACTGCACTAGTAGAAATTCACATCCTAGTAAGTTGGAAGGCAAAGACAAAGACATGCAAGGGCCTCCAGAATGAATTGTCATGCACAAAGTATCTCTGAGAAGATGAACACTGGTATGGCTGTAATCCGTTTTTAAAAAGTATAGCTAGTAATGTTGTGGAATTTAAACATCACACTTTATTCTGCAAATCCCTCACAAGTTTTTTTTTTAATTTGTTTTATTTATTTGACAGGTAGAGTTACAGAAAGTAAGAGAGAGACAGAGAGAAAGGTCTTCCTTTCATTGGTTCACTCCCCAAATACTGCTACAGCTGGAACTGTGCCTATCCAAAGCCAGGAGCCAGGTGCTTCTTCCTGGTCTCCCACATGGGTGCAGGGGCCCAAGCACTTGAGCCATCCTCCACTGCCTTCCTGGGCCACAGCAGAGAGCTGGACTGGAAGAGGAGCAGCCAGGAATAGAACCGGCGCCCATATGGCATGCCGGCACTGCAGGTGGAAGATTAACCAAGTGAGCCACAGTGCCGGCCCCTCCCTTAAAAGTTTGACTTCCTCAGAAAAGTTCAGAGTGTCAGTATACATAGTAGCCAAATGTGTAAGTGACCCATTTACCCAGCATGTGATAAATGAAAAGTATTAATATGCTTCGTTCACACAGTAGATATTACTCAGCCATAAAAGGATCAGGTGTGGATATATGCTACAATATGGATGAACCTTGGATATATTTTGCTTATTGAAAGAAAACAGACATAAAAGTGACCCTCTATCTCCATGATATGGCCAGAAGTGAAAATAAATCCACAGAGACAGGAGGTAGATAAGGGTTACCAAGGCAAGGCAGGTGGAGAGAATGAGGTTCTCTGACAAGGAGTATGGTGTTTCCCTTTGAGATGATGAGAAAAGTACGGAAATTACAAGACAGGAAAACCTGAATATACCAAGACCCAGTGAACAGTATGCTTTGTTTATTTTTAAAGATTTATATACTTGAAAGGCAGAGTGATGGGGAGTGGGGGATGATAGGGAGATCTATCCACTGGTTCAGTCCCCTCAGATGACTGTAATAGCCAGGACTGGGCCAGCCTGAAACCACAAGCCAGGAGCTTCCTCCAGATCTTTCACATGGCTGGCAGGAGACCAAGCACTTGGGCCATCTCCCACTGTTTCCCCAGAAGCATTGGCATAGAGCTGGATCAGAAGTGGAGCAGCCAAGGGGCTTCCATAGCCTAGACAGCTCATAGCAAGAGTCTCGGCTGATTGCTGATATATACAGAACTTTCAATCCTACAGCTAAAGATTTTACATTCTTCTCAGCAGTACATGGAACCTTCTCTAGGATTGACCACATACTAGGCCATAAAGCAAGTCTCAGCAAATTCAAAAGAATTAGAATCATACCATGCAGCTTCTCAGACCATAAAGGAATGAAGTTGGAAATTAGCAACTCAGGAATCCCTAGAGCATACGCAAACACATGGAGATTGAACAACATGCTCCTGAATGAACAATGGGTCATAGAAGAAATTAAAAGAGAAATCAAAAATTTTCTGTAAGTAAATGAGGATAACAGCACAACATACCAAAACTTATGGGACGCAGCAAAAGCAGTGTTAAGAGGAAAGTTTATATCAATAGGTGCCTACATCAAGAAATTGGAAAGGCACCAAATAGATGAGCTTTCAATTCACCTCAAGGATCTAGAAAACCTACAGCAAACCAGACCCAAATCTAGTAGGAGAAGAGAAATAATTAAAATCAGAGAAGAAATCAACAGGATTGAATCAAGAAAAACATTCCAAAAAATCAGCCAAACGAGGAGCTGGTTTTTTGAAAAAATAAACAAAATTGACACCCCATTGGCCCAACTAACTAAAAAAAGAAGAGAAAAGACCCAAATCAATAAAATCAGAGATGAAAAAGGAAATGTAAAAACAGACACCATGGAAATAAAAAGAATCATCAGAAATTACTACTAGGACTTGTATGCCAGCAAACAGGGAAACCTATCAGAAATGGATAGATTCCTGGACACATGCAACCTACCTAAATTGAACCAGGAAGACATCGAAAACCTAAACAGACCCATAACTGAAACAGAAATTGAAACAGTAATAAAGGCCCTCCCAACAAAGAAAAGCCCAGGACCCGATGGATTCACTGCTGAATTCTACCAGACATTTAAAGAAGAACTAACTCCAATTCTTCTCAAACTATTCAGAACAATCGAAGAAGAGGGAATCCTCCCAAATTCTTTCTATGAAGCCAGCATCAGCATCACCTTAATTCCTAAGCCAGAGAAAGATGCAGCACTGAAAGAGAATTACAGACCAATATCCCTGATGAACATAGATGCAAAAATCCTCAATAAAATTCTGGCCAATAGAATGCAACAACACATCAGAAAGATCATCCACCCAGACCAAGTGGGATTTATCCCTGGTATGCAGGGATGGTTTAATGTGCGCAAGACAATCAATGTGATACACCACATTAACAGACTGCAGAAGAAAAACCATATGATTATCTCAATAGATGCAGAGAAAGCATTCGATAAACTACAACACCCGTTCATGATGAAAACCCTAAGCAAACTGGGTTTGGAAGGAACATTCCTCAATACAATCAAAGCAATCTATGAAAAACCCACAGCCAACATCCTATTGAATGGGGAAAAGTTGGAAGCATTTCCACTGAGATCTGGTACCAGACAGGGATGCCCACTCTCACCACTGCTATTCAATATAGTTCTGGAGGTTCTAGCCAGAGCTATTAGGCAAGAAAAAGAAATTAAAGGGATACAAATTGGGAAGGAAGAACTCAAACTATCCCTCTTTGCAGATGACATGATTCTTTATTTAGGGGACCCAAAGAACTCTACTAAGAGACTATTGGAACTCATAGAAGAGTTTGTCAAAGTAGCAGGGTATAAAATCAATGTGCAAAGATCCACAACCTTTGTATACACAGGCAATGCCATGGCTGAGAAAGAACTTCTAAAATCAATCCCATTCACAATAGCCACAAAAAAATCCAACACCTTGGACTTAACCAAGGATATTAAAGATCTCTACTATGAGAATTACAAAATCTTAAAGAAAGAAATAGAAGAGGATACCAAGAAATGGAAAAATCTTCCATGCCCATGGATTAGAAGAATCAACATCAGCAAAAGGTCCATTCTCCAAAAGAAATTTATAGATTCAATGTGATACCAATCAAAATGCCAAAGGCATTCTTCTCAGATCTAGAAAAAATGATGCTTAAATTCATATGGAGACACAGGAAACCTTGAATAGCTAAAGCAATCGTGTACAACAGAAACAGAGCTGGAAGTATCACAATACCAGATTTCAGGACATACTACAGGGCAGTGGTAATCAAAAAGCATGGTACTGGTACAGAAACAGATGGATAGACCAATGGAACAGAATTGAAACACCAGAAATCAACCCAAACATCTACAGCCAACTTATATTTGATCAGGGATCCAAAACCAATCCCTGGAATAAGGACAGTCTATTCAATAAGTGGTGCTGGGAAAACTGGATTTCCATGTGCAGAAGCATGAAGCCAGACCCCTACCTTTCACCTTACACAAAAATCCACTCAACATGGATTAAAGACCTAAATCTACGACCCAACACCATCAAGTTATTAGAGAACATTGGTGAAACCCTGCGAGATATAGGCACAGGCAAAGACCCAAGACTCTTGGAAAAAATCCTGGAGGCACAGGCAGTCAAAGCCAAAATTAACATGTGGGATAGCATCAAATTGAGAAGTTTCTGTACTGCAAAAGAACAGTCAGGAGAGTGAAGAGGCAACCGACAGAATGGGAAAAAATATTTGCAAACTATGCAACAGATAAAGGGTTAATAACCAGAATCTACAAAGAGATCAAGAAGCTCCACAACAACAAAACAAACAACCCACACAAGAGATGGGCCAAAGACCTCAATAGACATTTTTCAAAGGAGGAAATCCAAATGGCCAACAGGCACATGAAAAAATGTTCAGGATCACTAGCAATCAGGGAAATGCAAATCAAAACAACAATGAGGTTTCACCTCACCCCGGCTAGAATGGCTCACATACAGAAATCTACCAACAACAGATGCTGGAGAGGATGTCCGGAAAAAGGGACACTAACCCACTGTTGGTGGGAGTGCAAACTGGTTAAGCCACTATGGAAGTCAGTCTGCAGATTCCTCAGAAACCTGAAGATAACCTTACCATTCAACCCAGCCATCCCACTCCTTGAAGTTTGCCCAAAGGAAATTAAATTGGCAAACA